AAGAGAATTCAAATACATAGATACAACTATTAATGAAAACAATTCAGCAATCTCTTAAGAAATACGAATCAGAATCAAACAGGCCAGAAGCTCATTTACAAGAATACAAAGGCTTATCTGCTGTAGAAACTTAAACCTTAAGTTAAAATACGACTGCTGAGGTGCTACGTGCTATCTGTATTATAATACGGGATGGAAGCGTGGACACTGAAGAAAATTCACGTGAGGAGATGGAAGGCATTCGAGATGTGGATGTACCGAAGAGTACTAGAGATCTCATGTATAGATGGAATAACCAACGTTGAGGTAATGTGACGAATGCATAAGGAAAGAGAAGTACTAACAATTAAAATCTGAAAAGTGGGATATATGGGTCATGTGATGAGAGGAGATAAATATCTAATACTCCAGATCATTATGCAAGGAAAAATCCAGAGAAAAAGATCCATATGAAGGAGACGTAACCCATGTAATAACGGCTCATTTAGAGCCGCTGTCTCAAAATTAAAAATCGCTATGATGATTGCCAACTTTCGACGCTCAGACAGCCCTTGAGAAGAAGAAGATACAAAAATTTAAAAAATGAATCATTTTGTCGTCAATTTCGAATGTTTCCATATTTATAAATTTAATAAACAATATTGTTTACTTTTTATTTTATTAATATACGGGATTACTCCCCGTGGCTAAGTACGATCCTGGAATCTGTCAGATTCTTCAATAATTATATGAAATAATGCTCGACACACCTAATTCATCATATGACGTCATAATTAATGACGCACTGAAAAGTACCTCTGGGATGTACTTTACGTATATATTCAAACGAAGGTTTTTTTTAGAGACATCTCAAATTCTTCAAAGAAAAACACTTTAGTGTCTATTTGAACGAGAATAAATTTGTTTACATAGCCACACTGCCTTTTATTGGAGTTTTCAATCAAGATCAGCAGAGGATAACAAAAATAAATGGTCAAGAAGAGAACTCACAAATGAATTACTGTGTCTACATACAAAAATATAATGGGAAATAGGCAGAGAGGAGACATCTCTCCCGAGAAGTTCCGAGTACTTATATAACTCTTAATGGAAAATATATATATATATATTGATACATTTATATATTTTCATGTTAATAATTCGATACACTGTATCAAAAGAACCCACGCCCATGCCTCAAATTGAACAGGGTTCTTACACACCAAGATTAACTATGTACCAAGTGTAAGGTTTCAAGACTCTATGTTTCAAACATTATCCTCACAGAAGGACAGACAGACAGACAACATCACAATTTCAATATGCAGATTTAATAATTACAACTAATTTATGAAAACATCGAAATTGAGAAGAATACATGAAAAATTCAAGAGGTCAATAAATAAATATGCAATTTATTTTCATGATTAAATTTTCACCCATTTTTTTAGCGTAAATCGATCCAAATAATACATACAACTTACATTATTAATCGATTAACTATTTTGACGCCAAGTTGAGATTTCATCTTCATCTAAAAAATATTTTTATCAATTATATATTGATTATATATGATATTTTTATCAAACCTTCGTATATTAAAAAATCAAGCTGTCCCAGTGGATATGTTAGAATATCTTGTAGCATGTTTCTTTTACCCTGTATATGGTTATAACCCGGTGTCTTACATGTATATATTCAAAAGAAAGTTTTTTTATAATCATCTCAAAATCTTCGAAGGAAAACACTTTAATGTCTTTTCGAAGGAGAATAAACAAAATAAAAATTATTGTTTACAAAGCTAAACTGCCTTTTATTGGAGTGTTCAATCAAGATGGCGGAGGATAACAAAAATAAATGAACAACAAGAGAACTCAGAAATGAATTACTCAGATTCTACAAACAAAAATATAATGGGAAATGAGCGGGGAGGACTTATATAATGCTTAATGGAAATATATACAATGAGTCAATTTGCTGCAGTACAACCTGTGTAGAACAATTGGGTTCCAAAAAAAAACAATGTCCATTGCATATTTGTTATCGTGAAATATTTTTACCTGCACTAATATTCACGTGTTCATTCAGTCTATTTAAAGATTCTGATTAACTAGTAAAATTACTAATTTGCAATGAGTGATAGATAATTATTCACCCTTGTCTTGGAAAGAGCGACAGTTTCCTGAATTTGTAATAAACTTCTTACTATACTTCATATATATATATATATATATATATATATATATATATATATATATATATATATATAGAAAAGAAAAGAAATTTAATCTTTGCAGATAAGTTAAATAGTAAACTCTTAAATATTGGGGAAATCTGAAAAAAAACTCTAATGTGTATCAATTATTTCACCTAACGTTTTCGCCAAAGAGAATTTGGCTTCTTCAGGGCTGAAAGAGAATAAATTATAATTAGCTACCATATATTATCTAATAAAAAACATTTACTTTACCGTGAAATTTTAGAAATGTCAAGTTATGATGTTAAAAAACTTTAGCTAGTAACAACATAGTGGTGTTTTTTTGTTACTATGTGCAAAAAAGTTTAGTTGTTAACGTTGGAAATGTATGGTAGCTTTGAACTTAAAACGCAAAGGTTTACCCAAGGACAATCGAAAAGCCCAATGTAACTACATTTAAAGGAAGTAATTCTTTGAATTGTCGGCAATAACTAAATTTTTAATTGTTGTAAAGTTTGAATGTGAGCTTCTGTTTTATAGAACGCAAGCGCCGAAACAATTACAAGTAGTTCTTTTGATATCATTGTCGTTAAGGTTCATTGGTAAAACCGATGAAGTTAGATCCCAGTCTGGGGAGATATTAGTTTAGAATTTTCTTAATTGAAATTCTTTGTTTTAATTAGTATATTGTTCATGTATTATTGTAATAATATCTTATTGAGATGTATCTAAGAAAAGCAAGGGAATGTTATCTTTTTTTGTTGATGAAAATTATTATTAAAGTAGGTTAGTTGTTAATAGATATATCAGTCAAGTTGGTTATCTGTGATGTTGTATTGTTCTTGGTATCTGATTTAAGTAAGAAGTGGTATATATCGCTTAGATTCTTAATGTCACTCTTAACATTGATGGAAAAATCGTTAAGGAAAATATAAGACATTTCAATGAACTCTCTTTTAGATTTATTGTTCTCACGGTGGAGAATTGTAGTGTTCGTATAGTCCATGTGATGACCAGTGGAATGGACATGTTTGGCTAATGCACAGCGGTCAGGGTGAAGTCGAGAATCACTTTTGTGTAGTGTAATACGTGATTTCAATAATTGAGATGTTTGGCCGATGTAGGAATTGTTGCAAGAGAGGCATGGAATGTTGTAGACAATATTACTAAGCCTATCTATGGGAGTCTTATCTTTTACCTTCGAATAAAGATTATTAATTGTTAGGGCTGATCTACAAGCCACATTAAGTTTAATGTTATTATTATTATTAGAAAAGCTATTTTCAAAACTTTTTAGAATCCTTGTTAACCCCGGAGTGATATCTCTGAAATAGGGTAATGAAAAATATTTATTGATAGGAGTATCCGAGACTGGGTTCCTACTTAAGACATCAGGATCAGCATTGTTACGGACAGGACAGGAACCCAGTCTCGGATACTCCTATCAATAAATATTTTTCATTACCCTATTTCAGAGATATCACTCCGGGGTTAACAAGGATTCTAAAAAGTTTTGAAAATAGCTTTTTCTAATAATAATAATAACATTAAACTTAATGTGGCTTGTAGATCAGCCCTAACAATTAATAATCTTTATTCGAAGGTAAAAGATAAGACTCCCATAGATAGGCTTAGTAATATTGTCTACAACATTCCATGCCTCTCTTGCAACAATTCCTACATCGGCCAAACATCTCAATTATTGAAATCACGTATTACACTACACAAAAGTGATTCTCGACTTCACCCTGACCGCTGTGCATTAGCCAAACATGTCCATTCCACTGGTCATCACATGGACTATACGAACACTACAATTCTCCACCGTGAGAACAATAAATCTAAAAGAGAGTTCATTGAAATGTCTTATATTTTCCTTAACGATTTTTCCATCAATGTTAAGAGTGACATTAAGAATCTAAGCGATATATACCACTTCTTACTTAAATCAGATACCAAGAACAATACAACATCACAGATAACCAACTTGACTGATATATCTATTAACAACTAACCTACTTTAATAATAATTTTCATCAACAAAAAAAGATAACATTCCCTTGCTTTTCTTAGATACATCTCAATAAGATATTATTACAATAATACATGAACAATATACTAATTAAAACAAAGAATTTCAATTAAGAAAATTCTAAACTAATATCTCCCCAGACTGGGATCTAACTTCATCGGTTTTACCAATGAACCTTAACGACAATGATATCAAAAGAACTACTTGTAATTGTTTCGGCGCTTGCGTTCTATAAAACAGAAGCTCACATTCAAAATTTACAACAATTAAAAATTTAGTTATTGCCGACAATTCAAAGAATTACTTCCTTTAAATGTAGTTACATTGGGCTTTTCGATTGTCCTTGGGTAAACCTTTGCGTTTTAAGTTCAAAGCTACCATACATTTCCAACGTTAACAACTAAACTTTTTTGCACATAGTAACAAAAAAACACCACTATGTTGTTACTAGCTAAAGTTTTTTAACATCATAACTTGACATTTCTAAAATTTCACGGTAAAGTAAATGTTTTTTATTAGATAATATATGGTAGCTAATTATAATTTATTCTCTTTCCTCTGGCCCTGAAGAAGCCAAATTCTCTTTGGCGAAAACGTTAGGTGAAATAATTGATACACATTAGAGTTTTTTTTGCAGATTTCCCCAATATTTAAGAGTTTACTATATATATATATATATATATATATATATATATATATATATATATATATATATATATATTTCAGATATACAAATGAAATAGTCATTAAATAAATTTCACTTTTTATCAAATAATAAAAGTCTGAAAATACCTGGTGAATATTTTAAGCCTGGCAAAACTTCCGATACGTCTACCAACTCTAAAACTCCTTCGTGCTCGGCCAATAGTCTGTGAATGACTGATTCATTTTCAATAGGATTTATCGAACAAGTTGAGTACACAAGTTTTCCACCGACGTTCAGTAACTCAACTCCTCTTCTTAGTATTCTGGTTTGCACCCTAAAAATGATTTAATATGAATTGTAAGTGTAGTTATGTATATAATGTGCATCTTAATGTGCTACAATTAAGAATGTTGTTGCGTAACAACAAGATCTAATATTTTTATTTTATTTTTGTATCATATCATTATTACCCACTGTATAGTAGTTTAGATTTATAGAACTCTTTCGTGCCATCTAATAATCTGTACGGGGCCGAAAGCTTGCATTCAAATAACTTTCTAGACATAAGCTTCTAAAATCATCAAAGAATCATAACAATGAAAGATGGGATTAGTAATTCCAAATTATCGGTTTGAGTCATTCGAAATTTCCCAACATTAACTAAAGTTGAAAAATACCCTTCTCGGTAAGTTTGCCGATAAAATGAAAGTCGAAGGTATTTGAAATGTAAACATATCCGTGTTATATACGTCGAGGGTCAGGAGGGAGATTTCTGAATGTTAAGAAAATTAAAAGCCGAGTGATTGAAGGAAGTGATCAGTACCAGTTTAAAATCCAGCATTGGATGAGCGCTAGGCTCTACTCGCGCCAGCCACACTTCATAAGGTTTAACACAGTCGGAATATTAATAAGTTTACTCAGTTCGTAAAATTTGGATTGTGGGCTGTCCTTTGTTGCAATGTTTCACAAAAATCCACTCTAACCGGTAGATCATCTGGCAAGAGCTCTTGGACTTGTCTGTAATGATAAGGATGTAATTGCTCTTCTTTCAGTATCCGCCAAGTACTTGAAGAAGAAGTATTTGTTTTCTTGCTATATTCCTTACGCTAACTGTTGGATCTTGATCAAGTAAATTTAAAATATTATTTTCTTTATTAATTGTTCTTGTTGTTCTTGATCTACCAGAATTGATTTTATTTAGTCTCACATTCCCAGTTTCTCGACAACGTCGTTCAACGGCTCTAAATGTTTTTTTACTTGGTAAGTTTCTTCTAGGAAACTTTTCTGCATAACGTGTCACAGCTGCACTAGAACATCCTAAACATTCGCCTAAGGTTAATAACATGTCAGTGTATTCAACATTTGAGTACATTTTGATTTGATTTTACAAATAACAAGGTTTCAAAACTCTAATTATTGTTGATTTATCGTCATAACATTCAATAAATGTCAGATTTCCATGGCACACTTGGAGAAAATAGAGGTATACCTATTAGAACTTTATCATTACTACCAGCATCAATTATTACTTCAGAATTTTCAAATCAAAATATTCCGAAAACGGTACACAGTATCGAGTATCTTTTTCTTGTAAAATTGAATGATGTTTAAGTTTACTTGAAATTTTGATTAATAATTATACTCTTAAAAAAGTTATATTGACTAATACTTAGTACGATTTCATGTAACTAGCGCCCTCTATGAGAATCAGATATAAAAACAAATTCATGGGAGGTATCAGCGTCCAAAACATATTCGTATAAAATTTCATTAAAATGTTGCCAGTAGTTTCGGCAAAATCGTAAAAAATGCGTAATTTTTTTTTCTTCAACGCGTTGAAAACGGATAGCGTTACAAAAATTTTTTTACTAAGCAAACCTCAATTATTTTTCAGTTTTTTACCTACCCTAGAGACGGTGTTACCTTTTTTGAAACACCCTATATATATATATATATATATATATATATATATATATATATATATATATATATATATTTCCCTATTTAAAACTTGGTCATAACTTGGGAAAGAATTTACCGATTTCATTCAACTCAATATAAGTTATAGATATATAAGTTTTCTAATACTTTGTAGAGGTTCTTGCGGAAAATTCAAAAAATTCGGAAAAGTTAACGATTATTTAAATTTCACGCGTCTTACGTTTGATAGCTGCGACGATGCAAATTTCGTCACCAGCTAAATTAGTGGGTCGAATTTAGTGAGTTCTTAGTTCCTACTATTGAATCGGACAGTTTATCCAGTAGCTTCTTGTGAATCTAATGATATCCGAACAAAGATTTGGTCAAATGTGTCAGTTATGGTTTTTGATGTAATAATAACTAATAAAACAGAAAAAATTACTTACCCGTGCAAGTTTAAACCATTTGCTGCAGTCCACTTCATCCATATATCGGGGTTTTTTCTCAATGTTCCATCACCAGAACATGGTACGTCACATAAAATTCTGTCAAATTGAACCTACAACATAAACAATATATTCCCTTCGATATCATATGTAAAATAATTTTAAATCGAGAATTTTGAGGTTGAACCTAGAAATCTAGTAATGTAATAGATTTAGTAATAGAATTAGAGTTGTCTTGTTATGGTATTCAAATTATAGGTCTTAAGGTGCAGAATATACAGTGTTTATCTTAGTTAAGCAGACTAGAAGAGTATTTACCTGAAAATTGGTCAGGAAAAATATATTACCAGAAACCAAATAGACTTCGATTTAAATCACGAACTAGAAATCCGAAGGTATCTAATTGACGAAATCAAAATCCAGATTTTTGCTTTAATCTGTGGCTTCTACGAATTGCAAGGCAAAACGTTGTTAAAGGTATAATTAGAGAAAATGGGGAATCTAAAATTGCATTTCATAATATATCTCCTCCATAATATATACGTGAGCACTAGAGGCACTCTACATGAAATCAAATCTTAACTGTCTTTCTTTTTATTTCGATATACTCTGTATGAGTACGAGAAACCAATTCCCCAAAGATTTTTGTTTAGTTAAGGAGATATGTTGTAGAATGCAATTTTAGATTTCCGATTTTCTCTAATTACACCTTTGTCAACAGTGCTGTATGCAACAGCTTTAATCTGTGCCTTCTAAGAAGCAAGTCTGTTTGACTTGCTTCTTAGAAGGCACAGATTAAAACAAAAAATCTGGATTTTGGATTCGTCAATTACAAAACTTCGGATTTCTAGTTCGTGATTGAATATCAGATGTCACTATTGCGTCCATAGTGAAGTCATTTTATCGTTGCTTCGTTTTCGACAGGAAAGATTGTTTTCACGTTCAAGACTTCTGTGAATAGTCGCTCTGAAGATTCCTTTTAGGATGAAATACATATAAACAAATATATAAAGGCACTATACGTGAAACCAAATCTTAACTGTCTTTCTTGTTAGACTTCGCTTTATTTAGGGACTGACCGGACAGATACAGAAATTCAATTAAATCAGCAAAAATATAACCAGGCGCAGACATAAACTCGGATCACGTTCCTATGTAGCAGTAATAGAGACAAAATTAAAAAAGTTAAACAAAAATATTAACCCTAAAAAAGAAGACTGAGAGATACCAGAATAGAAAACCACGTTAAACAGAAAATAAACGACAAGCCTAAAACTATACAGATAAATAATAGAAAAAGTTAATAAAGATCTCAATGAAAAACGCAGAAAATCTCATGAATGAAAGAAGATGTAAACACAATAGTGGACAGTATAAGCTCTTAAATTGCAGGATTAAAAAGAAATAAAAGCAACGAAGAAGAATTGGCTAAATGAGCAGAGTCGGGAAATTCGGGAATACAAAAAGAAATATTACAGCTTTAATGATATTAATTAATATAAATATATAATATAAATGAAGAAAATATTAATGAGAAAACAAAAGCACATACATGTAATGAAAATTAAATGGCCAAATTGTAACAGAGAAAAAGCATCAAAACATCTGTTGTTACCTTGTGTAGCACTAGATATATTAGAACAGATATTTTTTCTATATTTTTGAATATGTTTTTTTATTGACTATAAATTAACTTAAAATTCGTTTGAAAGAAAATAAAAAGGTTATATTATGTATGTGCATTACGTTTGAAAGTTTGAACTCGAATGTCTGCTTTTGGTAACTGTTTCAATATAGTCCTTAAGAAAGGCGGGGGTAGTCAAAAACATATGAGCGTCACTGGCGCACCAGCGTTTTCAGGTACAATTAGCGAAACATAAGTCTCCTTGTAATCATCGGGTTTCAATCGGTTAATTGCAGGAAAGGTTGGCAAAAAAAGTAAATCCTTAACTAGTTATAAAACAAGAAAGTAAAACAGCTAAAAAGTAAAATCAGTAAATGTTCATTAATATAAAATTAAAATGTTCATAATCAATGTTCACTAAGATTCGCTTTAAGATGGTAACACGGACAACTCCACCACAGGTCTTTTGAAGGTGCTGGATGCAGTCTTCACCGTCACTGAACGCCGTCCTTGCCAAGATGACTTTCGATGATGCCATTCTCGAGACTTCATGATTCTTTGACCAGTACCAAAGTTCTGATCTCAAAGTGTTGTTTAAATTCTTGTCCCACTTCACTAGTTGTCGTGAAGTGGAGATGTACTCTTTGGGTTACCTGGTTCAAAAATAGCGGTGTAGTTACTGCATTCGTTCATAACGAGAAAGTCTGTTTTCCTTGATGTCGCCGTAGATGATTCGATCAAGAATTGACGTAAGGGGAAATGACCAAAACTTCGGAGCAGTCAAAGAGTTCATATATCTAAGGACATCGGTTAACCCCAATAATAACACATCTGAGGAAATAAAAAGGCGAATAATAATTGCAAACAGGTGTTATCATGGTCTATCAAAGTACTTAGCTAACAAACGTCTGTCTCAAGAAACTCACATATGAATCAGAGGCATGGACGCTAACTAAAACAGATGAATCCGCTCTATTGATTTTTGAAAGAAAGGTGCTACGCAAGATATTCGGAGCGGACTGTGAGAACGGAATATGGAGGCGTAGATATAACTTTGAACTGCAGAATATCTACAAGTATACATTTGGTGGTAAAGATATTACCACTATAATTAAGCGAAATCGCCTGCAGTGGGCAGGACATGTAGCCCGGGCCCCTGAATCGAACATGATAAAAAAGATTCTAACAGCGCAACCCGTGGGAATGAGAAGACGGGGTAGGCCAAAGCTGAGGTGGATGGATGGGGTAACACAAGATGCGGAGAAGATCGAAGTCGGCAACTCTAAAATACAAGCAAGGGGCAGAACAGAATGGCGTAGAAAGCTTGAGAAGGTCGAGGCCCTCTAAGGGCTGTAGCACCAAGATGATGATGAACAATTTCGGCCCACTTGGAAAAATAAAAAATAAATTTGAACTTAAAAATATATATATAAAATCGAATAAAAAAGTTTGGTATGGTAGAAATGAAAAAAAAAGTTAGTCACTTTATGCTCTGCTTGTAGGAGTAAATCACTCGCCTACATTGACTATAACTGGTATAGGTTTCTTGGTTTTTGAATCATATCATGTTGTACACTCGTATTCTAGTGCTTACATCTTATATGGATCTAGAATAACCAGATCCGTTCGACATACAATGTTTCTTTGGTATCTTTTTTGTAAAGATTTAATTTTATTTAGATATGTCAAGATCATGTTTGGCTGCGCGGGTCGATTTTAATGTCCAATAATTGTTATGTAAACCCATTGGTTCTAAAATATGCTGTCATCAATACGCCATTATTCAAAGGAAACACAATATTTTTCTATATTTTCAAAGGCATTCTTCCATTCCGCTTTCGTCTGTAAGTAAAATTCATGGGAAATATTCTGCGATGGCTGTCAGAAAAAATGTAAATGAAATGAACAATGAGTCTTTCTAATATTGGTTTGTGAATTAACTACTAGCAAACCTCAAGATCCACCCAATAGGACGAGTAAGAAACTCAATGGTTATGAGAAAAATATTTTTTGAAGTCAATGCCAATGAGTGCAGCAAATAGTTGCGCAAATTTAGATTATTGATTCTTACAATGATTTCTGACTGTAATAAATTTACATGCCACCATTGACTGGACAGATGGCGGAAGACATGAAAATGGAGTAGGAATTCTATTTAGTAAAGTCACAAAAAATTCTTTTGTGGAATGGAAACCAGTTTCAGAGCGAATAATCACTGCAAGAATTAGGACCAAATTAAGACTGGTAACACTGATTCAGTGCTATGCACCAACAGAACAAGCAACAGAACAAGAAAAAGAGGATTTCTACGAATGCCTTGAAGCAACATTAGAACCAATTAAAAGATCCGATATAAAAATAATGATGGGAGACTTCAATGCCAAGTTGGCACTGACAACACCAACCTAGGACACGTTATCGGAAAGCATGGCACTGGCCAGAGAAATAACAACGGCGAACGCTTCATTGAATTATGTGGTAACCATGACCTAATCATTGGAGGGACTTTGTTCCCACACAAAACAATCCACAAGGTATCATGGAAATCGCCAGATAACCGCACCTACAATCAAATCGACCACGTTGCAATCAGTAAGCAATGGAGAACATCTCTCTTAGTGAGAGCGCCCACCAAAGTGGCGTGGCAGTGGCAAGTAGCAAGTAGCACGCGTCTAGCATAATGTAACCAATGAAAACGAATGATTCAGTTTACACCAAAATGACAGTAACGTCATTCATTCTAATCATTCGTTAGGATTGGTTACATTATGCTAGACGCGTGCTACTTGCTACTTGCCACTGCCACGCCACTTTGGTGGGCGCTCTCACTTAGATGTCAGATCATGGAGAGGCGCAGATGCGGCCAGTGATCACTACCTGATGATGGTCGAAATTAGATTCAAAATAGCTAGGAATACAAAAGAACTGAACAAACCTATTCGAAAAAAGTTCAACATTGAGAAACTACAAAATAACGAGACGAAAGTAGAATTCGCACGACAGCTGAGATCCAAAATCGACGAAAGACAGGACAAAAATTGGGAAACGATTAGCAAAGCCCTTGTGGAAACAAGTGAAAACGTGCTGGGCCTAAAGAAAGACGTAAAGAAAGAGTGAATTACGAGAGAAACGTGGAACAAAATAGAACGTCGCAAACACATTAATCTAGAATTACTAAATTCCAAGACAGCAGCAGAGAAGAACCGACTTAGAGAAAGTTATAGAGAAGCGAATAAAGCTGTCAAGAAGGCAGCAAATAAAGACAAAAGAAAGTGGGCAGAAAATCTTGCCGAAGAAGCGCGAGTCGCCGATGAACATAAAAACATGAGACAATTATATAATATCACTAAACAACTAGCCAATAAAAGATATACTACCCACCAACCAATTGTAAAAAGTGCTACAGGTGAAGATATTACAGCGCCACAGGAACAAGTCAAAAGATGGCATGAATATTTTAGCGAATCTCTAAGTGCAGTCCCAACACCACCAGAAGACGCAGAAAACCTAATACCCAATATCCAACTGAGAATTAACACCAACGAACCAACAACGCAAGAAATAGAAATGGCCATAGAAAAACTGAAAGCACACAAAGCAGCCGGCCCAGACAATATTCCACCAGAGTTGTTAAAAGCTTACCCAGGTACAGTGGCAGAGCTAATCCAACCACTCTTGAAAAGGGGTTGGAGAAAGGAAAAGTTCCCCAAAGAATGGAAAACGGGATTAATAATAAAGATACCAAAAAAGGGTGACAGAAGATATTGCGAAAACTGGAGAGGAATCACACTTCTGAATACTATAAATAAATTAACAGCAATAATTTTAAACAACCGACTAACAAACAGTGTAGAACCAATGTTGAGGAAGGAACAAGCCGGTTTCAGACCAAACAGATCATGCGTCGACCAAATTAACACACTAAGAATAATTGTAGAACTGAATTGTAGAATTGTAGAAAGAAAGCACTGCAGGAAATAGGAATACCAGAAAAAATAGTAAATCTCATCAAAGAACTCTACAGTGACACAGAAAGCAAAATCCTACACAACGGCATAACATCTGACCCAATAGCTATGCTAAACGGAGTAAAGCAGGGATTTGTTCATTAGATGTTAAATAGTATATATATATATATATATATATATATATATATATATATATATATATATATATATATATATATATATATATGTATATATATTGAACTGGACTCGTCTCTTGTGGCAGGCCCCATGAGCATTTATTTTAGTAAAAAATTTAAAATGAATACTTTACGAACCTGTTCCACAGATCCATCAGCTGCAGTTGTATTTAAATTAGGCAAAATAGCGCTGTCATGATTTATAACAGCTACACATGGAGAATTCAAGCGTTTGGCTTGATGAACTAACATATAACAACGTTTGTTGTCAATGTCATTAGCAATAACATATCCAGACGGTATTGGATCTTCATTGGCATGGAGAAGTTCTAATAATTGAGCTGTCTTTGATCCTGGAGCAGCACACATGTCCAATACCTAAAGAAAATTAAATGTATACTTAACAATACTCATTTTCTATTAATAATATAATTAGTTATAATAATTAAACTTTCATTTGTATTTTGAGAACGAATTCCGACGTAGAAATCGAAACATCAAAATAAACGTATTTTCAACTGAAATTGGAGTTACTATCCATTGAAGATAGTAACCCCAATAACTAACAAAAATAACTAACAAAATAATTAAATGCGAAGTAAAAAATTAAAAGAATATCAGAATACAATACTACTTATGTCAAAGATTTATCAGAAAATAAATTAAATGGTTAATACCTTGTGATGAGGTTGTACATCTAAAACCAGTGGGGGTATCATGCTAACAGTTTCTTGTCTGGAAATAGTACCATTTTCAGTTTCTGATATTAAGAAATTATGAAGCTTGTAGTAGGCTTCGCATCTTCTAATATCTTTTCTCGTCAATTCCATCTGCCATGCCAGCTTATTAGGATACCTATAAAAACATTATTTGAAAATTTTGAAATTGATCTAATCATCTATAGAAACATCTATAATACTCACGAATTTAATAATAGGCTTGTAAGTGATATTTTTTTAATTACTTTTCTCTTGATCTTAATAAATAAATTTACCTATTCTTTAACTGTAAAGTGATTTATTTTTCGTTTTAACAATTTTTTCTATCAAACTTCATATGTGTCAATTAGGAATAACAAGTTCTTTTAAAACCTACAAAAATATGCAGGGTGTTCCATTTACATTAAATAAGTTTAGCCAATATCTGGTGAAACTGGAAGTAGTTAATAATAATAAACAATCTGAAATTTTTTGTTTCAAAAATATTTAGTTGGTTATAATAATACTAGCTAATAGTTGGTAATACTAGCAATTGTTTAATCCTATATAATTCTCATTTTTAAAATCATAATGAAATTCCTTATAGTTCAGTTTATAATTCTTTTCAAAACTGGGCAATTCTATGGCCGAATGGCGTATACTATTATCAAATAGTGAATTCTGTGGAATAACTACATCAACATTGTTTAAATACTAAGTCTAGAAAGATATTACGACTATTAGGTAAATTAATAATTTGAAACATGTCAAAATAACCAAAAGAATTGTCTAAATAGACAGCAGGACAGTCATCAGGGCATTCAACATTTAAACCTAAGTAAATTGTTATTAGAGTATAATTATTAAAACAGGTATTTTATTAAATAAATCTAATGTGCAGCTTATTACTGTCTATCATACTCCAGATGGTGATTGAGACAAATTCTTTACCATTATGGCTAAAGCACTGAAAAAATTAATGTTCATAAACCTGTTATAATTACGGGTGACTTTAATGTCCATTTTAATAAAACAGACACCAGAGCTTTAAAACTCTTTAATTTTTTTAGATCTTACAATATTACAAATAAAGTTAAATTCAATACTCGAGGTAATAGATGTCTTGATAATGTTTTCACAAATATTGATGGTACCACAAAACCTGTGGATCTCACTCACATATCTGAGCAGAGGTATTTCCTTCCAGATAGCTTACTCATCCATAAATTGTGCAACCAGAGTTTCTATAGACATATCACAGATGAAAGACCAGATTTTGTTAAATTGCAACTTTTATTTTGTATACAATGATAATTTGTATATTAATTTAAAATGCTAATTGATGTGTTAGTAAATTCCATAAATATCTCTTTTCCAGAAAAATCGAAATTGCTAAATAAAAATAATACAGGTAAAAAAGTAAACTGATTCAATGACACTTTGAGAAAAATATGTAAGTGACTTCAATTTATTATAGCAATAAATAGAAACGATCCCGTTGCTGCACCTAGCAGTACCATTATCAAACCAAAAAGAGTACAGGGAAGCCATCAAGCTTGCAAAAATTAATGCAAATGATAGGTTTATAAGAAATTCTGGCAACTCTCAACAAACTATGTGGAAACTTATTAATGGTAACAAACATAAAAATACTTTCACTGATAATTCTAAACTCAAGATAGATAGTTTTAATAGCCATTTCTGCTCAACTGCTGAGAAAGTAATAAATAAACTTGAGGTTCCTCAACTAACTCTTGATGACTATTTAAAGTGTATACCACAGGAAAATATCCCATGTTTTAGTTTTCAACCAGTGAACTTTAGTGAAGTTGACTTAGCTATTACAGAAATAAAAAATAGTAACAGCAAAGATCCTGATGGATTTAACACAAAAATTATTAAAACAATTAAAAATATAATATTTTCTTTTATAACTTAACTTACCAGGGAATAGGAAAAATACTTGGTTGTTCAGTCCCATCTACTTGATTAACACAATCTTTTATTAGTTGTTCTTCTACAATTCCTAGTAGCTTATTTGCAACACCCTTTGAGCCTGTTATTCTAAAGGTGGCTGGTAGGTCAGTTTTTAAACAGGAAATAAACTGATCAAATTCATTTTCTTTACAAACCCCAACTCTCTAAAACAATTAGAATAAATTAAATACTCTTAACCTTTTATAACATTGTTAGAATATAATACTTATAAGACTTAATAGTAATAAATAAAAAAGGAAATAAAAAGAAAGTGCATTTTTATGATTGAGGTAACACATGCCCAGAACTTTGGCAGGGCAGGGGGCATGTGCTCCGGCGGCAGATTTCAGGGGGTGGCAAAATTTGCAGTTTATAACAATACCACAATTAATATTGTTTACGTTTATTTGATTTTGTTTCACGATTCATAAACTGTATTACACTGACACTGTATACCAAGATATCTTCATTGTAAGACACAACACAAGAATTAACATAATTCTTGAGGCTGGAGTGAATATTATCCTGTTATGCCAACCACTAATCCGAATTAGTAGCCAGAGTAGTCAGCGGCAGGGGCATGGCCTCAAAAATAGTGTGCAATGCGCAAGCATCTCATCTATTTCACCCCCTTCCACCCTTTACCTTCCGATATACAGTACACTAAACAAACAGACATCTATAGTCATTGTTGCCATTATCGACAGCTACACATGTAATCTCCTATATTATATATTGTTGTCTACATGTGTTGATCTGAATCTGAAATAATGTCATAATTAAAAAATAATAACCAAACTAGGAAAATATCCAGATGTTAGAGATTTTCGGATTTTGAAAATAAGGGTTTTCAAGGTTCAACTGTGTCCATGTTATTACTGATCTAATTTCCCGGCTTTTAATACTTTAGGTGGCATTGAAGCTGGAGACGAAGGCTCGCAATATGTCGAACTTCGCAAGAATCTCAGTCTTATTGGTAAAGCAAATGAAGATGAATTATTGTCTCGTCCAGACATTACAACTGGTCCATCTTTTTTTCCAAAAGAAACATCCAAGTTTTCCTTTGATTTTAGGTATTATTTAGGTATTTGAGTTTTTCCGATTCTAAAAGGTGTTACATAAGAAAAATGATCTTTGACAATATGATTGAGCCACATTTAAGTAACAGCAACAGAGATGGGTGTAACTAGCCAAATATTGGTTTTATAAAGTTCTCAAAAATGGAGAAAAAGTAAAGATATCGTGGTTACACTATAGTAGGCTCTTTTCACACTTAGCATCAAATCAAGTGTCTGCCTTAGCTAAAGAAAAATGACTTGCTAATTGGAGAAAAACTCGATGAAAAATTGCCTGAACAACAACTTTATTTTTGTTCGTAGAAAGCGTCAGAATCTTGTTTAGGAAAGGGGGTATTGATGCAAAACTCCAAAACAATATCCATCAAGAGACTCACTGGAAGGCTGTATTGCGCTCCATTATCGTTATTATATTTCCTAGCAAAGCAAGGAAGTCCATTATGATGAACTACAGAAGAATGTGATTTCAGTGACCCATCCAGTGGAACATTGTTGAATACAGTAAAACTTATATAGCATTACAATGTCCCTCTTCAACAACATATTGGGCAGTATAGGAAAAGGAAAATCTCATATTTCTCACATAAAATACAAGATGAATTCCTTGAAATCATTGCCAATGGCATAAGGCAAAAAATAAGACATTGTGAATGCAAAATATTATTCCTTAATATTTGACTCCACTCCACATATCAGTCACAGTGAGCAAATGACTGAAATAGTTTTTTTAAGTCAAAACAAGTACAATCAGAGGTAGAAGATAGTTTTCTTGATTTTCTCTTAATGACAAAACAGATGAAGGTCTTAGTCAAGAAATTCTAAGAAAATTAGACAAAGATGGACTAAACTTAGAGAACTGTGAACCAATCCTATGACAATAGGCAAATATGGCCAAGAAGTATAAAGGAGTTCAGTCCACACTACTTTAGGAGAAGGAGTTAGCATATTTTATCCCATATGCTGCTCTCTCCACTCCTTAAATTTAATTAATGCTAATGCTGCCAGTAGTACTATTGAGGCTCATAATTTTTTGACGCTGGCAAATTCTCAGAGAATATGTGCCACTGTTATGAAAACCTGAAAGCAATACAAGATGGTCTACAAGATTAGATGTGGTAGAAGCTATGAATAAACATTATGGTAACGATATGCAGGCTCTAGTTGATCTTAAAAACTATAATCTCTCAAACTAAAAGTGAGGATCCCTTTTGAAAAAAAATTGAATTTTGAAAAAAACTTCGAAAAAGTAGATTTGGCTGCTGGACCCTTCAAGGTTCTCTAACACTCTTAAAGTCTTGATTTGGTAATGGCCATCTGAGGCCATTACTGAGGATAAATTCTTAGCAGCCATGTGTGATCTACCATCTGAGTCTCAGAAAAAAAAAGAAAAAATGTCTAATGACCTGTGTGGTGATGAAGCTCCGATAAGTGCTGAGAATGTGTACCAAGTAGCTATGTTAAAGGTTATTGACTGGACAGAACTCAGTGATAGGTTTAAGGCTTTGGACAACATAAACAGCAAGTTTGGATTTTTAAATGGAGTTTAAACTAAAGAAATGGAACCCAAAGATCTTGAAATGAAAGCAGACAAATTGGCAAATATCTACACTGCTGATTTCGATGTTGAGAAATTTAAATTTGAAATAGAAAGTTTAAAACACCAGGATAAGAAGGCTCGAAGATTTAATTTTTGAGGTACAATACATAACAAATTTTTATACAGTTACAGTTGAGGTACACTGCAAACAAATTATTTGTATTAGTCATGTATATAATGTATTAATATAAGTGTTTTCCAATATATGTGTTATGTATTTATTAATTGTATGAGTGTATTAATATAAGCGTTTTTCATAAATAAAACTTTTTAATAGTATATATGTTACAAGCAAAGCCCGAAATTGGGCAATCCTAGCATTGTACGGAAATAATTGTCCACTTCTAGCATTGTACCCCCAAACTGTACAATGTCCAAATGATCCAATTTAAAAATGAGACGCTCATCGATTCGAATCGATTATTATTGACAAGCGACACATCAAATCAAAAATCGAACATTTCTTGTTAATTATTTGATATTTTTTATTTTCTATTTACATACAAAGTTGTACTTTTTCGAATCGAAAACATTATAAAATGCTGTAAACTAAAATATAAATCATAAGAAGAAATTGTTCTGCAATAGAGTGATAGATAAAAGCACATACAAGTAGGTATATAGAAAGTTCCGTTGAAGAAATGAAGGAAATTTTTGTATTTTTCAGTGTTGTCATGTCATTTTAATAAATCTCCAAAGAGCATGCGATATAATATTGATTAATTTTATTAAACATTATTTTTAAGTTTATAAATGAAGTTTAATTAAATTTAATTTAATATATTTTAATATATACCATTTCACCCCAAAATTATAAAAAAGTAGTCATAAAATTGAAATCTGCCGAACAGCTGTTGCAATCTAGCAACTAGTGTTTTAAAGGTTTTGACAATATGGCCAAGTTTATCCCCTAATCTACCAAAGCACCAAGGGCAATTATATATATATATTTTTTTTTTTATAACTACTTAACTGAAACTAATATTCTCCATTTGCTTAGCTCGGGCATATTTTGACAGATTCATTGTCGGAAACCTACAACACATCAATTCCTACTTCAAATAATTTAATCCTACATTCCGGAAGACAGAAATATTGATTAATTATGGATTTATATCCAAATTGATGTTTCTTTGTCTTTAATATCAAATGTGGAATAATCGTAAAAATCGATATGAATTGATATCTGTCATATTCTTCCAAACTTTGATGCATGGCTACTTATTGAAATTCAAACATTGTACAGCAATTCCTTTATACAAAGTCTGACAATTATGTCTTTTTTGGAGATTGTACAGTAAAGGCGTGCAATGCTAGAAGTGGACAAGATTTTCCGTACAATGCTAGGATTGTCCAATTTTGGATATTGCTAGTAACATATATACAGTGTGCAATGTCAACTACCCTATCTAAGAAAATAGAGAATTATTCTTTGGTGGAAGAGGGAGTGGGAAGCAGACTGGTGTCTTTACTCTGTCCTGACAAATCTCTTCCCACCCTGATATATAACATACTCAACAAATATCTGAATATTAAATTATACACATTAAATCTGTGGTACATTATTTTCAGTGTATATATGCCATGATATGAAATTATTTCTTCCTTGTCTTGTCTTGTCTTGTCGTATTGATGGCTTTGCTGCAAGGCAATTGCCAGCCCGATTTGTGTGAGACCCCACTTTGTCTGGCTCTGGGCCATGCAGGAATCTCTGGAAACTTCACTGGACTACAGCTTTTCTCGTGTTAGCGCGTTTCTTGTTTCTATATAGCTTGATAACTACGGCAAAAATACTGGAGGATAAGTTAATATTACAACAAATGGAATAAGCGGACAACACCAAAGCACTAAAACAGGCAGGATTATAGGAAACATCAGGGAAATTGGATAGTTGAGCTTCAGAGTTTGATTTTATTAATGTTAATGAATTGCATGATTATCTCTATAGTTTCGTTTTCCGGAGAAGATAGAATGTCATTCATGGATAACGGTGATATTTTCTTTTTTGACACAAAATACTTATATAAGTCCAAATTAGGAATATGGTTAATAGGGCACTCGAAAAATATGTGATTCAGGTTTTCTATCATGCCGCATTCACATGCAGGGTCATCTTTTATATTGATTTTGAAGAGATGGGCATTAGTCAGGCAATGACCTGTACGCATTCTAATTATAGTTGTGATGTGTCTTCTATCTTTATAATTTAAATTGCCATACCATGTCTTATTGGTGAAAGTTGATTGAACTCTAGCATACCCACGATGTTTGTTTGAGACTAAGATTCTCCATTTATCTTTAAAAATGTTTATAATATCCTGTTTTAAGAAATTTGAAATATCTTTTATGTCATAAACCATTTTTCTGGGAATATTAAGATCTGTTCCAATTTTGGCCAAAGTATCTGCCTCTGAATTCCCAGGTATACCTGAGTGACCCGGTATCCAGGATAATTGGATATTATAACCATTCATGTTAGATGAAGCAATTA